ACTTATTTAGAGTTTTCCAAGCATCTGTTACAGATACCCGGAAGTACTGGGCCAAACAGGAGAGGCAAGCTCAAATACAACCCTCAAAGAAGAGGGGAGCTTTGCCCGAGACAGCATTTACACAGGAAGGTTCTTGTAATGCCACCTATACCTCCCGCTCGATGCCTCAGCAAGAGGGGATATCCTGGTGATCTTGGAAACCCCTCAGGGCGACTCAGATACGGTAGACCAGTCAGGGTAGCATGAAAGCGTAACCCCAGCCCGGACGTCCAGGAAATTTTTTCAGTGATGCGCCGGGGGCCTGATGAACACGAAGGCTCCCACAGAAGCCTGTGTTATGGCGCATGATCCAGGAAGTATGAAGCCGAAAACTGGCTTTACTTACCGTCTGGACATATATCGACGAGTGAAATACGCACTGCAAGTTGAGCACCCGGTTTCTGAACCCAGCAGAGGGGGTGCTCATCGAGGACCTACCCTAGAAAAGGGACAGAAACGCTACTGGCGCCTATTTATACTATAGTCGCACCGGTAGTGACGTCATGGCTGTCGCCGGCCAACGAGTTGGTGTTTTTTCAATGTATGCTTCAGACACGGGTCACGACGAGGTGTTCCCCATAGTGACCCCTAGAGGATACAGTTCGAAGTTCCCATGAAAGGAAAAAAACTGCAGTTTTTTTCAGACAGATGCAGTTGAAACCTTAACATTTTGTGGATTTTACATTAATAAATGGTCTAAAGCAAAAGAGCTGTAAAAATTCAAAAAAATCTTTTAGAGCTCCTTGTATTTAAGTTTTCATAATCCATTTGAAAAAAATATATTATATATTAATGAATAAATCTGTATATATTATTTAATTTACTAGTGTCATGTTTGTGATTTTTATTCATGTAAGCTTTAGCTTCTGACCTTTAAATCAAACCATACTCGTGATTTTATGACATCAGTTACTGCTTTATTTATTCAGAAACTCAAGTATCTTAATGTTATTTGTGTATTTTACTTTCATTTTATTACAAGTAGGCCTACATCACCCCGTAAGTAAATAAAAGGCCTTACCAGAGGGGCGTTAGGACCCAGGGGAGGCTGTTGCTGCCGCTGCTGCTGCACACACTAGTGACTGTTGACCCTATCGTTGTTTTGAATGTGCATTCTCAAATTTAATGTGGCGATCCAAAAGACTGAATCTAATCACCATTCAGGCAAAAGTTCACTTCAAGAATGACCACACTGATGATGTGATCTTATCACTAGCACACCCTGAGCTCATGTGAGCTACTCGTCTTATCAGCAATACATATTGGGATCATTTTTCCCCCAAAACGGACGATGTTTACATTTTAAGCCTTTATCTGCTGATTCCGATAACGTTCTGATAATATTGCGCATCCCTGGTCATGATGTCACTGCTTCTACTGTCTTTTCAGAATAAATGCCAGAAATATATCTATTTTTGGCAGATCTCCAATGAGTTGTTCAAACCTTTTAAATTCAGGTTTCCACTCACAGCATAATACAGAATCCATAGTAGTCAGCATCAACCTCCTGCTCTCTTCAGACTCTGGTTTCCTCAGAATCCTCATGCTGCTTGACCTCACTGCAGCTTCTCAGTCATACCATTCTACTCTCCCATCTTGAATCCTCCTCCATCACTGACACTGTCTCGTCATGGCAAAGGTCATATCTGACAAACAGACAGCAGTTTGTATTTGTACTTCCTCCACAGCCCCTCTGTCTCAAGGTGTGCCCCAGGGTTCGGTGCTCGGCCCCCTTTTATTCTTCCTTCACATGCTTCCCCTTGGTAACATCACACGTCGTCATATTCCCCACTGCTACGCTGATGACAACCAGCTCTAGTTCTCTACCAAATCCATTGCAGCTGAAATAAATTCCACACTGGGCACCATGTCAATCAAATCATCAGAACCATTTTCCAGATGTCCTGTAACAGTTACATAAAGGAAGTTATTATATAGTTATTATAATATAGTCACATGACTACATGCATGTGACTATATTATAATAACTATATAATAACTTATAAAAACTACAATATAATAAGAGTTTCATTGCAAATATATTAGATTGTATTTTATTAGACAATCCTAATAATAATTCTAAACATTGATTTACTTTCACTCTTTACTGTTACTGTTATAATATAGACTGTGTGTACCTCCCCTTTCCTCGTGAGTTTGCAGTCTAGTCCGGTCTGTGTGCCAATCAGTGATGATTGTTCCTGTCATTGTCTGTCAGACACACTTGCTCACAGTGACGATGTTTTGTTTCTTCTCTAGTTCGCAGTGTTTCTGTGGGTCCTCACGTATGTCGGTGCCTGGTTTAACGGACTCACGCTGCTCATTCTCGGTAAGGCCATTAAGTTGGTTTCACTTTATACTGTACTTTCATGCTTTCTTCAGTCTTTGTTGTCATGGGTCCATCTCTTGTGCTGCAGGTCTGATTGGAGCTTTCAGTGGCCCAGTAGTCTATGAGAAACACCAGGTAATGGGTCATGGCTGTGAAAAGACATACAGTGTTCTCTTGAGTGTTTTGTGTAATGTTCATGTGAGTTTGGTTCTGTTAAAGAGGACTTGAGTTAACACTGTAAAGGCCGTTTCACACTGAGCGCGAAAACAATTCAAACCTTCAGCTAATTCACACTTGCATGCTAGGTGGTGCTGACCAACAATGCATTTTTCCTCAGATATGTATCTCGTATATTAGAGGTCGACTAATTTTACTGATACCGATAGCTAGGTTGGACCACGCTGGCTGGTATTAATAAACCGATAGTTTTTAAAATGGATACTGAAAGCAAACTAAAATAGTGCAACCATAGTGAAACAATAGTGCAACTGAACCATACTTTATACATGAATAAAAATATTAATATTAAATATTAATGATATATTGATCATAGGCCATTAATGTTAACAGAAGCAACTTCAAAATGTAAAAATGTATTAGATGTTGAAATTAGCACACTCTAACTAGATAACCATCTTTAAATCTCTACATAAAGGCCACAGCATTTAAATTACATACATATGGATATTGTATGTATACTCTCACACTTGAATTGTTTCTATTCTAGAATATATGATGACTATAATTAAAATAATAAAATATTGTAGTCACACACCGGGCAAAAAGCACCGCAGGTATTACACCCAAGGGTGTAACTTTGGTTTGAGAAGTGGGGGGACACAAAATGGGGGGAAATGTTTTCGATTTGAATCCCATTTCCTGCATTTACATACATTTAGGGACTATGGGGATACAAAATCCAGGAAATAATTAAGCTTATTATAATGATAAATTCTGCCAAAAAGAATAGTAGGCTACTAAACTGTATAAGAAAAAGATGTCTTACTTACTTTATTGTTTAATAGGGGCCGATCGACAAGAATGAGAGAGTCATTTTATAAAGTCAACAGTGTTCACCTTTAATATTTTGTGTGTGAATAAAATGTAAATAATGTAAGACTCAATTTCCACTGTTAAACCAACTTTTATTTTTGGCATGGATTTTTGACGATAGTTCCAGCAATCAACTATCGGTGCCGATTAATCGACTAACCCGATACATCGGTCGATCTCTATTGAGTATGGATTTAACATCGTCTGACTTTAAATCATCCTCGAGTGCTTGTAATAACTCTCAATTATGATCTATAGTTGATTTTGATTCTATAATAGGCAGACATGCACTCTTTGAATGTTTTATAATAGACTGAATGCCACACCCGCTTATCATTTGTCATAAACATCCTTTATTGTTATAAAAATACCATGAGCTACATAAAACAACCATACAGAAAATATATGTCTAATCATATGTCTGTTTGCTTTCATATTTCATGTGTATAAAAAGTTTCTCTCAATTGATTTCACACTGAAGGGTAGCAGACAGATCTAGAGTGGATGCGTTCTGACTCAACACTCGCGCGCATGGAAGAAAACGGACAGAGAATACATCTGTCCTCAGATGCTAATGATAAGAACTCAGCATGCACTCTCTTCTCTGGTCTTTGTTTACACTGTTTCTTGAAACAGCGCCACCACAACAGCAGCTGCACCGGTCACGTGATCTGAGCTCTAATCTGATTGGATGGCCCGATTCATCGCAGAGCGACAGAGAAAAAAATTACACACAGGACGGAAAAAAATCCTTGCCTTTTCGCGCCGCAAATGATGGAGCCTGGTGTGAACGTCCCATAGGGATCTATTCCAAAACTTCATTGTGCCAAACATTCGCGTTCAGTGTGAAAAGATCTTAAGAGTCACTCCTTCACATGGAAGAAAACGGACAGAGAATACATCTGTCCTCAGATGCTAATGATAAGAACTCAGCATGCACTCTCTTCTCTCTTCTCTGGTCTTTGTTTACACTGTTTCTTGAAACAGCGCCACCACAACAGCAGCTGCACCGGTCACGTGATCTGAGCTCTAATCTGATTGGATGGCCCGATTCATCGCAGAGCGACAGAGAAAAAAATTACACACAGGACGGAAAAAAATCCTTGCCTTTTCGCGCCGCAAATGATGGAGCCTGGTGTGAACGTCCCATAGGGATCTATTCCAAAACTTCATTGTGCCAAACATTCGCGTTCAGTGTGAAAAGATCTTAAGAGTCACTCCTTCTGTTAGCCAAACATGAGTTCATCTGCAGTGAGTGTGAGTGTGTCTACTGAGTGTGTGTGTGTGTGTCTGTGTCTGTGTGTGTGTGTGTGTGTGTCCACTGAGTGTGTGTGTGTGTGTGTCCTCT